GCAACTTCAGTGTCCGATAAGCTGGCAGGAAGAACCTGGAGTGGTGATACCAATTCCGGTACGCCACAAATGCAACTTATAAATATATATAATTATCACGCGATGGGCTGTAATGAATTGGAGTAAAGTCAAAATAGTGTTTATGTCGATTACTCACTGTTGAATCAGACACTCGGGAGTTGGAAATATCAGTGATTTTTGTTATGCGACGTGGCTTTTTCCTGATTGCCCTTTCTCTCCAGAATAATTGCCGCGTAATATTGGTACTATGATTTTAAATGCTATTGGCTTTGTGATCAAACAAGCGGGCGCGGACATATTGTTTCAAACACATTTTTATGGAAAATCTATCTTGTGTGAGAATTATAGGGTTAATTTTATTCAGATCCCCACTTTTTTCGAATCAAAATGGAAGTGAGTGACCTTTCATAGCAGGGGTAAAGAAAAACGGAAATTTCAATTCAAAATACTATAAATATTCGGCATTATCAGAATCAAATTATATTTTGCGGAAATGCGACCTAACATTTGTCAGAGTGGGAGAATTTGGAAAACAGTAAAGATAGAAGAATTGCAAGTTACTGACTAAGACTAAGATCTACACGTAGACTTATCTCCGTGATATCTGGTGAAACAAGACTTGAAGTAATTCAGCACTACTATGTCAGGAAGATTTCTAGAATACTCAAAATATATCATTAATCGCTGTGCTTCGTTAAAATCTGCTTTCGTGAGTTTCTCTCTCAAAATATCCGGCACATTCTACTTATAAGCTTATTTGATATTTGGGCGACATCGTCTACTTTGAAATAAAAATATGAAAAATATTGTGATATCTGTTTTACCTTGCGAATTCTGGATTTGACATCTTTGAAAATTTGCATGGTTTACGCTTAATCGCGTAATTTATAACTCCAAGAGTCCGGAATCGCAGACTTTTAATGGCGATAAAATGACTCAAAGCTTCTCAATAAATCTCAAAAACATTAATTCAACCGTCTGTTTAATCTTTTTTTGGCGCTCCCGAAGTATGAGCACCAAGGTGGCGCACAACCTGAACCCTGACCCTAGGGTGTGCGACATCTTGGTGTACATACTTCTGGAGGTCTGTGTTTTTTTTATATTTTCCGGCTCGACTTGTCTAATGGTTAGGCTCTAAGCCAGTGTTTCCCAACCCGAGTCCGCGGTCTCAAATGAGTCCGCGGAGCGTTTGAATGAGTCCGCAACGAGTCAGAAGAAATTCACTGCGGGCCGCAAACGTTTTTGCGAAACTTACCTATCAGCCAAGTTATGATTTACGTTAGAATTCACATAAAACATAAAAAGCAAGTTTATTCACATAATATTAATCGAGTTAATATTTACTGGTTACTGAGTAGGGCTGGTCATATATTCGAACATTAAACTATCAGAATATCAATTTACTATTTGAAAATTTGGTAGCAGGTGACGCGACAGGTCACGTGCGCGTCGCCTAATCAAACGATTGGATTTCACAACTCACTTGCGGATTCTCGACGAAAACACGAGTTGGCACACGCGTCGATAGATACCTAAGTGATGTTTCTTGCGAGTTCGAACAACGAGGAATAAAATTTTTTCTTGGTAGGTGCCAATGGTGGCGACCCAAATTTTTTAAATTGGAAAGCGGCAATACAAAATACAACGCAGAAGACCATAAGTTTTGTTTTATGATGTTCCGTGAACGATTAAAACCGCTTTTTTAGACATTGCAAATCGCTATCGGGTGCTACCGTTGTATAGATACCAAGACATTTCTCCTTCTTTGCCTCCACATTGGTACGTACTGTACTGAAGCGCCGAACAGCTCAGATTTGTCGAATTCACAAAAATACGCATCCAAACAAAGTATAATCGTGCATTTTACCACGCATTTTTGTGTCCACGCGGATTGTCATGATATTTAGTAGTATTACTTTTATTTCGTCAACACAACCGCAGATTAAAATGATCACAATCAAATTAATAATAAATCAAGTCGATGAATATGTATTTTTGATTCACTAATATACTTTGAATATATTTTTAATAAAAGTACTAAATCGAGTTGTACTTCCTGGAAATTTATAGCAGATAGTAGGATTTTTCTTACGGCGATGACAAATTCGCAAGATCGCAAAAAATAATTCTCAAAACTAAATATAATCGGGCAATATATTCTCACATTATTATTTTCGCAGATTTCTGTGGTATTTTAAAGAAGTAATGCTTTCATCTTGCCGTAAGTCGACGCAACCGCGAGTTACCATGAACACAAATAAAGTAAAGTAGAAAGACATTTCAAATTCTCGTCGTTGTCATGGATTGAATATTGTGCGACAGAAGAGGCCATTATACAATAAAAAAAGTCGGCTCTTTCAACAAACGCGTAATTGCGGCGAATTTCCGATTTTGAAATTCGTTAAAATCTCTTGTTTGGTTTTATTGTTTCTTCACAGAGTACGGTTGCAATAAACGCACCTTGAGTCCGCAAAAGTTTTTGGCGGTGCGATAATAGTCCGCGATCAAAAAAGGTTGGAAAACGCTGTTCTAACCGTTGTCACCCTGGGTCAGGTGGTGGGTATGGAATTTGAACCCAATATATGAAAAAAATCATCATCGCGGAGTTAGCATTGCTGCATGATTTATCTGTAGTTGTGGGAACTCAAGGCAAGCAATTTAGATATCTGCATATTGCCCTTTCTCTCCCGGTTACTCGATTCATTATCGGTATTTGTAAAAATATCAGGGTTAAATTTATTTGAAAATTGCAAAGAGGTGCATCAGAAAATAAAAGCTGAGAACTTTTGCTATTAAAATATACAAAGATCAAATTCGATAAGAAGAGACAAACACGAGATATATTTCTGATTATTTTTTGCATTGCTATTTCGTTGGCAATGGTTAAAATGTGACGTAATTCTGAAGCTAGAGATATTCAAGTTCGAAACGGCGAAAATTTTCATCGCTCGTTTCTTGCCTAATGGTTTATTGTCGTGTAGTGATCGATTGGAATGTTTTGATCATACTATCACGCGATGGGCTGTAATGAATTGGAATAAAGTCAAAATAGAGTTTATGTCGATTACTTAATGTTGAATCAGGCAATGGCCAAGAGTTAGAAATATCAGTGATTATTATTGTGTTATGCAACGTGGTCTTTTCCTGACCGCCATCCTCAAGTAAAATATATTTTGTGCGTTTCAGTGTAACAATCGCGTGATCGTCGTAATACACGTGTCGTTTGCTCCGATCAAAGCAGTCACTGCAATTTCCCGACACATTTACTTCACTGTGGAAGTTACCATCTCGGTTGTTCCATTTAGACAAAGAATTTATTGAAAGTCCGTTTTCAGTAATTCGTTAAGAATAGAGCGAAATGGTGTTGGAAAATGCTTAAAAATTTATGTCTCACTGCAAATGCCGCAAAATTACATGAAAAAAATGTTTAAAATTTAGTCATTACCGCAGCCGCATTATCAGGGTAATGTATATTTTTTAGTAAAAGTATCGTTAAAATATTAGATCCATGCTCTCAACTTTTTTCAAGTTGACTTATTATCAAATGTTCTTCTATGTTGATCGTGCGAATTTGGGTGAAAAACCATCGGTAAATGGAAATCAACCTCATATATTACTATTTAATAATATGCTTTGTAAAATTATTGTTTTTGAGTCTTTGACTTATTTTATCACTATTTTTACCACAGCCCTGGTAACAACCTGTTGATAACAGGCCGCTTAGAACGAGAGAAGTGCGCGAGGCATCAAGGCCCGTAAGAAAAAAGCTTTGCACACTCGCTGGTAATCATTGTTCTATAAATACCGTCACCTTGGGTGTGTCAGTTCATATTTGATAAACGATTTAGGAGATATTTGACAGTGTGTCCATAAATTTAAAATTTGAGAAATTCATCATTTGACTTTGTAATACTGATCTTAATGTCTTTATGGACATACTGTAAATCATTTTCATTATAAAAATTTATACGTTATATTCTGTTTTATCTTGTCTAAGGCTGTAGGTATTTATGTGTAGTAAGCGTTTTCAAAAACGAACTATGCCTCATTTAAGATAATCTAATATATGACAAACGCCGGAAAGGATCGAGGATGCAAATATTTCGTATCATTTGCTGTTATAGGCAGGGCTGCCATAACGTCCTTATTTTTAAGATTTGTCAATATTTTGAAGGTCTTTGTCTTAGAAAATATTTTTGCCCTTATTTCTAAGAAATGTCCTTATTTTGGACATATTTCCTTATTTTTGTTTCATTTTAGGAAAGGAGGTTCTTATACCGGGCACATGAATTGTTCAATTCGAATGATTAAAAATTTCGAAATGATATTAAAACCTCATTGATTTCTACGCGCATTCATGACGTAATAGCTGTAAAATAATTTTCACAATGACAAAACAATAGATACTGGCAAAGATCAATTTGTGTAACTTGAGTCAAAATACTGTAGTGAATCAGAAATTTGCAATTGACAAGTAGAAATATTTAAAATCTCATAAATTTGATAAGTGTAGCAGTAGCCTACTTATTTACTTTTCTGCCGTTCTGAGCGACCCTCTCCTTCCCAAGCATTTCGCATGTGTTAATTTCGACTTAATAACCTAATAACATAGTTGTGAATCAGTGATTCAGACAAAACAAGATTATACCGGTAAATTATATTTCAAATTTAGGTATCTTATTATCATGTCTCTCAGATGTCCTCATTTTTGGGTTCATATTGATGGCAGCCCTGGTCATACCTTTATATCGGTCAAGTCAATTCGCGAGCACTCGGAGGCTTATTTGTCAGCCGAATGTTTTTCACCACCCGGTCTTAAATTCTATGAAAATTTTCCGGATTGAAAGCGTTTGCTAACGCCTTTTAAAAATATGCTGAATACATACTCTGGCTTACTATAACACTACTTTCAGCCCACCACGTCCAATAGAAATGATTTAAACTTTTTGTTTTTTTTATAAGAAACTAAACATACGAATATGGGTAAAATAGGCGTAATAGCGTTGCTATGTCTATTGTGCTTGATAGATCATGATCCAGTGATAGCCCAGACGAAACACAAGATATGCAAGACCGCTGAAGACATCTTTGACGAATCAACCCTACAGGAAATAGTTCAAGCAGGTAAAGCAATAGAAAATGTTCAAGTGTCGATATTTCTTGGTCTGTCACTAGTAGACTTTTGTGTGTTTTTGACAACTTCGATCCCAACAACGTGTTAATGTTTCCTAACTGCACACTTCAATGATCTAACCGAAACTTGAAATTATTTAATTTGCAATTTAAATATTACAATGGATGGCATAGATTTTCTTGTTTATTTCCGTAACAATTACAAATCAGCAATAAGTTAACAATGACATAACTATTGGAATTTATGCCGTCGCTCAGATACTTCCTTCGCCTCAAGTGTGGTTTAAAACATTGCCTTTTTTTGGTAGTTTTGCGAGTTATTTGTCAGTTTTTAGTTGTGTTTCCAAAAAATACTTGTAAATCAATTAACTTAATTGTCATTGTATCTTCCGACGATCATTAGTTTAGTTACAACGTTCAAAAAATGATACCATGAATGCTGCGATAGACTAGCCTAAAATGACCTATCTGTATCTATAAGCGGCACGTGGTTTATTGTTAAAAATAGAAGAATAGTTTTGAACACGTAAGCCAGTTTGTAAGCCCCAACTCTTCAAAACAATTTCAAATTCAGCGTTGAAAATTTTGCAATGATAAAGTATAGGGGAAATCTTTCAGGGGCCAAGGGTCGGGGAAACGTCCATAAAATAAAATATGAACGTGGTAAAGTGGAATAACAAGCGGACATTTTTGTTCGCCTTCACAGTTTGTCGCACCGGTCTCTTGATGTTAAATAACACGATAAAACTTACTCATAGTTGACATCGCACTATTTCAGTTTTTGTGGAAAAATCTCAACCATGATGCGGGCACACAAATGCGGGCCACGTGTTGGAGACCCCTGTTTTAAAGCAAGCCATTATAGTTTTATTGGAATTCCTAATATGTTGTTTGAAACACCCGAAATTTTTCTGATTCGCCGTTGTGTACCCCGAATAAAACTGTACGGTCATAGAATTCGTTCGAACCCAATATTTACGGCCTCTAGCTTTTATATAGGATATTTGTGATTCCGATTCGGGAATTGATCAATTCGTGTTATAGGCTTATATATATGTCTATGAAATTCATACATATAGTATTTTTAACTGTTCAGGTATGAACAAAATGATGGACATTGTGGAGGAAAGAATTTTAAAGAAACTAAGAAATCAAACAGGTGAGAGCAAAAACTTGCATAAATTTACTTCGTCGTTAAAATATTTTTTGTTTTTAGCAAGATGGATGAAATCCATAGGTATTTCCATTACCTAGATACCACGCATTCTAATTTTAGTTGGACGTGCTTGATATATTTCTGCTCCTTCAGTCAAACAAAGCTATGTAAAATCATCCACTAACTACATAAGGAGCTACGTTTTTATTGAAGAACAGAGATTTTCCTGGTTCAGCATTGTCATTGTGATTTATTGCCTCTTGAGGTTGGGATTAGCAGCGGGGTTTGATCGCAAATATATTTCATACCAGCTCAAATGATTTAACAGTTTTTTTTTCAAACAAGCTTTGCTCAAAACTTGGGCACGCGCACACATTCAGAAGTAGACTCATCACCGAACAGAACTAGGGGCGAAGTGACTGAAATGGCAACTACTACTGGGAATATAAACAAAAATATATCGATGAATTGCGCGTTAATAAATATTGATCGACGCAAAACTTTAAACAGTTCGTGTCACTACAACCAGGAAAACTCAGGAAATTTTTTTTACACATTGACTGCGAAACTCCAACCACTTATACTGTTGATTAATCGTAGCACCCACTGGCGATAGTGTCGGTTGTATATGAACTCGCTTAGTTGATTTTTGAAATTTTAGTTTTTTAATATTCAGTAGGTTATAGCCTTTTTCTGATCGTATTGAAAACGATTTCGTCCAAATCCAATCGGTCAGTATTATCCAGCGCGTATTTCACTGCTATATTTCTTTAGCTTGAATAACTGAGTTTGCATGACCTTGCTTGTAAGAAATGAGATGACGTAAGAGCAAAACTACTAAAGGGCTCTCAATCATAAATTTTTGCAAAAAAATACATAAGACAATCAATTTTTGTTAATATAAATCAAATTTATCAATAAAAAATAAAAAGCTTTCCGAAGTAATTGTGTTTTGAATATTTGACTTCAAACTCTGTTGACTCTAACTTATGTTTCAGAATGTGGCGTCGTCTATAATTCTAAATGTTTCCGAGCGATCTTTCATGACAAGAACGACGTCTCATTGAGCGTCGCTAAATCAATTTGTGGAAACAAACTGGCTAACATTTATGACGTCACACACTACAAACTGCTTCAAGATTATTTACGATCAATATTTCCTGCTGGATGGTCAGGGATTGGGGTTCGTACGGGAATGACTTACAAGGTAGGTCGAATCTAAATCATGTTGTTTATGCGACCATACATGAAATTGTTCTAAAATATGGCCTATATTGTTACCGCGTTACAATGTGCTACAGTATTTAATTTTATCTTGAGGTTAAACTAACATGGCTTTAGCACAGGAGATAAGTTTCATTCAAATTGCGTCATTTATAACACTAATTAACTAAATGGAATTTGACCTCCTTACCGGATTTTAAAAAATTCGGTTGTCAGCGTACTCCAGTTTCTATCAAAAAATCAACCACAAACTTTCGCCTCCATGTGATGTGTCTGGGTAATTCAACACTTTGACTACAACACCAGTAGGACGCTTCATCTTTGCAGTTCTGATACTGAATAAAAAAAATAATAATTCAAACCAATTTGGGTTGTGTGTCTATTCCATTCAATTCTCATCCACCAACGGTGATCACTGAAGTGTGACTGAGCAGAATATTGATGTTTTAATGTCACGCTTCATTCACCTTCTAACTGGAACCCAAATAAGTTTGTTTTGCTTTGTTTGATCACATGGCAAGAATTACTGGTTTAACCATACTCAACTATATTCTCAAACTTCCATTTGGTATATTTCTCAAAATCTCTTCTTTATCTTGACAGAACGGTCAGCTGTATTCAACGACGGGCCAACCTATATCTCTGCCAAAAACGCTTTGGCATCCTGGTCTTCCGATTACCCACGAATCGTATCCAACTGTTATTGTTCTCATCACTCGAGACTCGGAAGGCAAGGAAGGGATTCTTAATGCTCATTCTGACAATAATTTTCTTGGAGCCATCTGTGAAAATGAATTATAACTCTGTTTATTGAATGATCAATAACAAAAAAAAAACTGTAAAATTACACGAGTTTAAAAGTAATTGTTATTCGCCCTAGTAGCTTAATCAAAACTTTCAATTACTAATTTTTACAGTTGAATTTCATTACATTGAAATACAACAACATATGTTATTGTATTTCCGAATATAACCCTGATATAGTCTACAGACGGTGTGTAGAGTACCTATTAATAACATGTTTGAGACGTTCAGTTTGGTTCCATTACATTTGAACCCACGTACATTTGAACCCATGACAATTGCACCTGCATACTATTGCACCTATGGGAATTTTTTTGTTGTACGGATAGTTGAACCCATACTAACCCTAACCCATGGGTTTCAGCACCCGCATATTGATTGAACCCGCGGATATAGACATGGGTTCAAATGTACGGTCATCGTTCAGTTTAACGGTACTTTAGTTCAGGGGTGTGCCGCCGGCGGCCAAATGCGGTCTACAAGAAGAAATTGTGCGACCCGCAAAATGAGTTTTTAAATCAGTTCAATCTGGTATGAGTGCGAATTACTAGAAAGTCTATGTTAAATAAGGCAGGGCCGGCGGTTTCGCCCAGGTAATTGTACATTCCCGCTTTACTTAATAACGAATGCTTATTTTTAAAATGTCACGAGAATAGAGTTTTCATGAAAGTCTGGGGTGTTTCAAATCTTCACTCTGAACTCTCTGCACAGGGAGTTACTTAAACTTGGAAAGCCAAAAATCTTTTTGTTTTGACTCCTAGACCGAGCAGAACTGAATCGTATTACCGACCAGGACCTTTCTAGGAGGATGTGTCGAGGAAAATTTTAGAGCCGTTCTTGACTTAAATAATTTGCGCATAGTTTTCACATTTATTTTGATGAGTGCAAAAGCCCATTTTGTAAATATTCTGATGCCCGTGTCTCCTTAATTTTAGTTGCTATATATCGATGGATATATTTCCCGTCGTGATCTGAAAGAAATATGAGGTATTCAAGTTTATCAAAATTGAAATCAATTACAGCATCGTCTTCGCTTTACAATAAGCAAGTTTTATTACTCACACTCGTTTTTACATTTTATTTTCTTGCGTGTGAATTATAAGAATTGACGATTTTTTCATTATATTTGCTGTGGTATATCATGTTTGAATTTTTTTGCATCACATCATTGAAAAAATTATTCCTGGTTATTTAATAGTTAGAAAAGCTGAAAAATAATTTGAATTTTATTAGGAAATGTTAAAAATTTATTGAAATTAAAATCAATTACAGTATTGTAATTTCTTTATAATAAGCAAGTTTTTTTATTTCGTATGTCACCTCTCTCTTTCCCGGGCTTTCAAAACATGACAAAAAAATTCATTTCGTTTGCTTTTCATTTTTCTTGTATGTGAATTAGTGTGATCAACAATTTTTTTATTACCTTTGCTCTGTTATATTATTTGTTAAATGTGGTTCGAAAGTTCAAATTATTTTTCACAAACTGAACTGAAAAAATTAAATTCATAAAAAATAATTTGAAATTTTAATGTATATTCTTATTTGTTACTTTTGCCATGAAAAAATGATAGAGACTAAATTTATTTCTCAGAAAACTAAGAAATTGCTTTATTGGAGAATTGGAATTCAAAAACAGTTCCAGACAAGCTGTTAAAATAAGAGACAAAAATGTTCAAAGAGAAATCTCCGAGCATGGCGCAGTGTAGAATAGAAATGCAGAATAGGATTGATATATTTTAATTCCGATGAGAAGGAAAACGGCCTAATCATATATCAGTAATTTGTTTTGAATGCGGGAACTCAATATATAATATATTAGAACTCAGGGAAAATTACATTTTGACTAGAGCTCCCAGAGAATCAAATTTTGACTCGAACTCATAGAAATTAAATTGTTACTCGAACTCACAGAAAATTAAGTTCGACTTCGAACTCACAGAAATCAAATTTTGACTCGAACTCATAGAAATCAAATTTTGACTCGAACTCATAGAAATCAAATTTTGACTCGAACTCATAGAAATCAAATTTTGACTCGAACTCATAGAAATCAAATTGTGACTCGAACTCACAGAAATCAAATTTTGACTCGAACTCATAGAAATCAAATTGTGACTCGACAAATTGTGACTCGACTCGAACTCATAGTAAATCAAATTGTGACTCGAACTCATAGAAATCAAATTTTGACTCGAACTCATAGAAATCAAATTTTGACTCGAACTCATAGAAATCAAATTGTGACTCGAACTCACAGAAATCAAATTTTGACTCGAACTCATAGAAATCAAATTTTGACTCGAACTCATAGAAATCAAATTTTGACTCGAACTCACAGAAATCAAATTGTGACTCGAACTCACAGAAATCAAATTTTGACTCGAACTCATAGAAATCAAATTTTGACTCGAACTCATAGAAATCAAATTTTGACTCGAACTCATAGAAATCAAATTTTGACTCGAACTCATAGAAATCAAATTTTGACTCGAACTCATAGAAATCAAATTGTGACTCGAACTCACAGAAATCAAATTGTAAAAAATTCTAACACAAGACCTCCCATAAAAATGTTGTTTGAAACAATATGGCCGCGTCAGCTTGTTTTGTCACAAAGCCAATAAAATTTAAAGCATAGTACAAGTATTATGCGGCAATTTTCTGGAGAGGGAGGGTAATCAGGAAAAGCCACGTTGCATAACAAAACAATAATATTCACAGATATTTCCAACTTCTGAGTGTGTGTGATCATAGCCTTATTCAACAGTGAGTATTGACATGAACACTACTTTGACTTTAATCCAATTCATTACAACCCATCGTTACACCATTACAATTTAATCGATCATTGCACGACAATAAACCATTAGGCATGAAACGAGCGCTGTAGTTTTGAACTTGCATCAGATTTACGTCACATTCTAACATTTGCCAACGAAATAGCAATGCAAAAAATAATCAAAAATCTATCTCGCTTTTGTCTGTTTTTATCGAATTTGATCTCTGCATATCTTAATAGCAAAAGTTCCTATCTTTTATTTTATAATTCACCTCTTTGCAATTTTCAAATAAATTCACTCCTGCTATTTCTACAAATTCCGATATTGAATCGAGGAACCTGTAAGTCTTTGGAAAGAGGCATTTTACATTGGCATTGTGCAAATGTCTAAATTGATTGCGTGGAGTTTCTATAGCAATAGTTACTACAGTTATAGTCTAACCACATCTTCGTTGCACTTAATGCTCACTTATTTATTTGGGCCGTCTGTAAGGCTTTTCTCGCATAAAAATTTCGATAAAATTTAAAATTTCTACAGAACATACTATTTTAATTTATTTTCTAGATGACTTGAAGATATGTTTGAATTTATTATTTTAACCCAATTTGTTTCTGAGTGAATGTAAGTAATATAAAATTATTTGTGATATTGTTTATTCAAATATGCATTCCAACTTCATGTAATTTCGGGAAATTAAAAAAGACTTTAAACTTCATATAATGACTTAAATCAGGGGTGTGCAACCTGTGGCCCGCGGGCCAGATGCGACCAAAATAGAAAAATTGTACAGCCCGCGGAGAAGTGCCAATTTTGAATGTTGTGCGGCCCGCGGAACCAGTTTTTAATTTGGTGCGTGTGAGTAATTTCAATCCCATGCGTTGCGAAGCTTTTACCTGAATCCAGTATCTATGCCTATGATGTTACAATGCCCTAACAGCTTGTGGGAATAGTCATAGCCAAGTTTATTTTTACCATCCAGCAAAAAAATAAAATTAAACACACATTTTTACTAGGGAAGTGAAGCAGCGGGGACCAAGATTAGATATCGAGCAGCGACACCCAAGGTCCAACGCAAGTGATAAGATCATAAACCAAAATATTTTTTGACTGCAGCTACTAGAAAGCATATGTTAAATAAAAATGCGGCCCTTGGTTTACTCAGTTGGGTGTATCTGCCCCCCGGTATAAAAGGTTGCACACCCCTGTCTTAAAATATAATAAGACATTGTCACTAGATATTTGTCAGGGCTCGGAAAACAGTTGAGACTTCTTTAATGGAAGGTTTTAAATAATTAAAATCATGATTTTTGAAATTTATTATCGAACTCGCTACAGTTCGGAGATGATTTTGTTTTATCGGGATCAAATTTCCTTTAAATATATTCATAGTTTTTGAAATTTGGACCATAAAACACAATTATGCTATTGTATCGATCCTCAGAAATGTTTCATTGGAGTTTTGCTCTCCAAAAACGTATGTTAGAAACCACTAGGTTTGGTCCTAGCAACGATTATCTGGACACTTGCTGTCGCGGCGTTGCAGAAAAACGCTTCAGAAGTATGTGTACCCATATAGAGGGACCGTGTTCCCCCGAAAATAATACCTGACCTGACTTTAAAATTGATTTTAATATAAGCCTTGAAAATCTCGTACTTCTCTACTTTGTAATTTTGGTTTTTGATAAATGAAAATATAAGACATCCCCCGAAAATAAGCCCTCGTGTTATTTTTCGAAAGAAAATTTAAACGAGAATATCGGTCAGATACCGAAGACTTGTGGATCGAAAGTTAGGGGATCCCCCAAAACAGCGCTCTCACTCCATAGTGACACCTTGTGTCCCATCACTAATTAATTAATAACTCGCTAACTATACTACATAATTCATCCAAAATCAATAGGCTTCTGGTACGACATATGATGGATGCACATGCAAAATCTGGAGCAGATTCAATCTTGCTTTCGTGAGATATCGCGTGCATCTAACAGACAGACAGACAAACAAACAGACAGACAAATACCTATCAACATACTTACCGATTAAAATTGATAAGTAACAATTAAAATCGATAAGTAATTAGACCCAGTCTTATTTTAAGGGAAACGCGGTAATTGTTTTCGTTTACATCAAGTTGTATAAATGGACTGAAACTTATGGGCAAGGGGGTATTCACTTGGCTAAAACAGACAGTCTCCGAACTCGTAATGGACCTTTCCCCGACCTTTGACCCTCGGAAAATTCTCCCTATACTTTATCATTGCAAAATTGTCAAGGCTATTTCAAGAGTGCTTTTGCGAGTTGGCGTCTGTAAAATGGGGTATGTGTTTCAAACCATCATTATGATTCATCGCATACAACAATCTGTT